CGTTACTCCCCATCCCACAGGGATGCCCCGCCTGGGATGCCCCCCCGCCGGCTTCCCCCGAGGCTTTCAAAGCCGCGGAGGGGCTCCGGCGGGCGGGCAGCCCATGCGCGCCTGGGATGCCCCCCCGCCGGCTTCCCCCGAGGCTTTCAAAGCCGCGGAGGGGCTCCGGTGGGGGGGAGCCCAGGCGCTCCTGGCGCTCCTGGCGGCTTTGCTCCCGGTGCCTCTGGTCTGCTGGGGACCAGCTCCAGCAGACCAGGGACACCGGGAGCAAAGGAGGCGGAGGGGCGCTGGGGTATAAGATGAAACCTATCTTTTAATTAAAAAGATAGGGGGTCGTCTTATACGCCCAGTCGCCCTATACACCGGAAAATACGGTATATTATAAAAATGAAAGGGACAATATAGATACAAAAATTTTAAAAAATGAATATTATTTTTGTTTCACTTAGTGTGAAAATTGATGCTGGTGCCAGTCAATGATTTTGTCAAGACATGGGATTATCTTTAACAAGCATATGCATATGTCATGGTCAGTGTTTATACTGATTCAACTTCAGCCTTGGGTGGCAAGGATCAGGCTTCAGTTTTCTGCCTTGGACCCCAGCAAATCTAACACTAGCTCTGTTCTCTGATTTAGTTTTGGTGGACCTCCCTGAAACCTGTTCCCAGCCTCTCCTTCCCAGGGGCCGCACACTGCTGGCTGAGAACTGCCGGTCTAGATCTCTGCATTTCTTGTGCTAGCATGAAGAGTAATTATTTTAGAACTCTGTGCAATGTCCAACTATCTTCCAGCTTGCACCCTCACATTCCCCTAAAGAAGTAAAGTATAAACCCGGAGTGCCTGCAAGAATGAAAGTGTGCTAGAGGGTGTGCTTAAACTTCTGTGGAGTTTGGGAGAGTCAGCACTAATCACACGCTCTTGGACCACAGGATCTCAGTGCTCAGGAGACATGCTAGTAGACAGAGGAACTGCACCCTGATAGATTTCTATAGCCTCTAGCCAAGGGTAGTGCCTGGACTCTGTTCAGACTCAAGAGGCTTCAGGAGTACACAGACAGGAGAAGCCTGATGATATGGACTTCAGAGACACCCGCTTGGTGAATGTGCATCCAGCAGGAGCTCTCTCAGGGCTGTGAGACAATTGTTCAGTATCCTTTATAGCTTTTAGGGCCAGTGGGAAATAGCCAGGAAGCCTGACTTGCCTTGGCTAGTGCAGTATCTCAGTGATATTAGAACATAATATAAGAACAGCAATACTACATCAGGCCAGAGATCCCTTTAGCTCTGTATCGTGTCTTCTGAGAGTGGCCAATATCATGTGTTTCACAGGGAATGAATTGAACAAATGATTCAAGTAATCCATCCCCTGTCAGCAGTCCTACGTTTGGGCACTCTGTGGCTTATGGACATCCAGGTGGGCTGCATTCCTGGTCATCTTGGCTACCAGCCTTTTATGGGTCTATCCTTCATTAACTGATTTAATTTTTTTTAACTCCCTTAGGGTATGTCTACACAGCAAAGTTATTTAAAAATACCAGCCATTATTTCAAAATAACTTTCCTAGCATCTATAAAGCCAAACCGCTATTTCAAAATTAATACAAAATAGTGGAGCGCTTATTTTGAATTTGGTAAACCTCATTCTACAAGGAATAACACCAAATTCAAAATAGCTAAATCAAAATAAGCTCTGTGTAGACGCTTATTTCGAAATAGGGGGCCTCCAGCCCTTCTCAGGATGCCCTGGTGGCCACTCTGGGCCAAACCAAGAAAACTCTTCTGCTACCCCCGAGCCCCGGAGCCTTTAAAGGAGTAGAGTCTTTCTGGCCACAGGGCCTGTGCCAGCTCCAAGGCCTGCCAGCCCAGAGCCCGTAGGCGCTGCCCCTGACCCAGTTGCCAGCATGAGCCAGCCAGCCAGTGCCAGCCAGCCCTTCACCGCTCTCCAGGAGTAGGCTGGCAGCTTCCCAGGGCTGGAAAAGGCAGGTGCCTTCCTGGTCCAGTGCGGAGATCATGGACCTCATTGAGGTTTGGGGGGAATCCTCCAACGTCCATGATCTATGCACTAGATGCAGAAATGCAGCTGTCTACAGATGGATAGCTGACAGCCTGGTCACCAAAGGCCACATGCGCACCCAGGAGCAGGTGCGCGTGAAGATAAGGGAGATGAGGCAGGCCTATGCCAGGGCCACAGGGGGCAGCTCCCAACCAGGGGCAGACCCAGACCCCTTGCCTGATTTTGACACCCTAGACTGCATCTTGGGGGGCCAGACTGTCCGTGCCCCCCAGGTGGTCATCAACACTGGGGCAGAGGGCCCTGACCGGGGCAGAGGGCCCTGACCAGGGCACGGAGGAGGAGGAGAAGGAGGATGACGGTCAGGCATCGCAGGAGCCTGGAGGGAGCGTGGCACTCACCCATGACCCCCAAGCCATCACAGCAGCCATGTCACCACTGTCTTCTGAGGCCAGAGAGGCCTCAAAATGTGAGGGCCATCACTGTCCCCTTCTG